GATCCTCATCGATGACGGGCGATCGGCGACGTCGTCGATGGCTGTCGCGTGCAGTGCTGTATCGGCTGCAGCAACGATACAAGTACAATGGATATTACTCCGATCGTTCGTGGGGGGCACGGGGTTGCACACGATTTATTCACAAACCTGTAAATAGGGAACACATATTCATCGTTGATAATTGGCACACTAGAGGGCAGGCGCGACGGGTGGGAAGCGTTAAAAAAGTTACGATCAGGGCCGTAGCGACTGGCGATTTTTCGGGGACCTCTTGTTCTGTCGCACCTCGTACCGTTAAAGGCCTATCCAGACTTGCATATTAAATATATATATATATATATATATATATACATACATATTAGAAAAATCGACCAATCGCGCGCAACCAACGCGACGAACGAAACAATATGGCATTCCGGGTTTGATTAGTCGAATAGTCGGCTGTGCGCGGCCTACACGAATCAGTCTGGATAAATCTTCGGAGCGTGCAGCTGCGCGCTCCTTTTTTTTTATATGAGAAATACTGTGTTGGAGAAGAGATGGAGGAGAGAGCAACGGCTCCTAGGAAAGATCATTGTCGAATAGGTCCGTTGCGCGACTCCCATATCGCTTCACTTCTGAATTTCCTCAAATCTTGTGTCTTTCGGTATGAAAATGTTAAACGAATAGAATGGGGTACCGCCGATCTCGATCGAATTAATATCGACATTTCCTCCATAAAAATGTTCGGGTCCCGATTTAATTAGCATTGTCGAAAGCAACGGCACTTTCATCAAATTCCATAAAATATGACAGACATGACACGGTGATATTCGTAGTCCTTAAAGTTTGAGGAATATGGATCGGTCTTCACATAATCCACTCTTATTTCAAGACCGTCTTATGTAATATCCTAAGATGCTAATAGGACTCTGTGAAGAATTCATAGTCTATTCTTATTTTAAGATCGTCTTGAGTAATGTCTTATAATTTTAATACAGCCCTCGTGATCAGTTCATCTTAAAACTATACTTAAAACGGTCTTAAATATAAGTTTCTGACTATGACTGATATCCATAGTCAATTCTTCAATTTGAGACGATCTTAAGTACAATCTTAAGATGTCATAAGCCAATCAGAGACAAAGAGCCGTACTAGCACCTTAAGACATTATCTAAGACTGTCTTAAAATAAGAACTGATTGTACCGGTCCATATTAATAAAGACTTAATAGAATTCGAATTAAAAGCTTAGTAATATAAAAATTATGGGCTACTTCCGAATCAAATTCTGATTAATTTAAAACAAAATTTTTTTATTTATCTAATAATAATTTAATCTTTAATTTAATATACTATTATAATTTAATATTATACATATATTGTAATTAATAATAAAATTTTTAATTTATCCTTCCTTCTTTACGATTCAATCTATTTCTTTTCTACATTAAACAAAAAAAAATTATCAATTGTTAATGATATTCGCATTAATGAAATCGTATTTAATAACAATGGACGAATTAATCAGAGTTTGGTCAAAGTCGTTCTAGGATAAACGAACTGCGAAAGATGATCCGTCTCGACAGTCGGCAGAGGAAAAATCAACCTCAAGTCGGCCAAAGAATACGCCATTATTTTAACATAGTAGCATATATCTCCGTATAAAGAGAGATGCGTTTTATCTTAATTACTTTTAAAGGCAAAAATGAAAGTGTTAAAATAAACAAAACCCAATCAGTCTTTCTGGTCATCTTATCGCAACAAGACAATATCCAACAGGGAAGAGATTAGCTCCGTAACGGTACAATGCCATGATGCCAAGAGGAAACGTGTAGCACTATGCGCATCTTTTCATCTTTAAATTCTCATCGTTTAACGGAAATATAACGGTTTCTCGAAAAGCTATTTGAATATTTCTTGATTATGTGATAAAATATATAACAGATACATAAATTGACAATTGATTAAATTAATTAATTATAATAATAACTGAACAGTTACGTTTTCTGCAAACGTAACGTAAGTTTTACATTCGAAGAAATTTCTTTGTTCTCGAAAATCTCGTGTAGAGCTCCACGTTTCCTAGCGAGTTTGCAGACAACTTGCGAAAATGATGCGTTTTTGCGTGTGTGTGTGTGTGTGTGTGTGTGCGCGCGAGGGCGAGCATTACTCTAAATCAATTTTTCGGGTTCCCGTCTTCTTCGTTTTTAACTGTTGAAATCGTTACTCTGCGCTCCGACGGTACACACAGCGTTGCCAAGTTTACACGCAAAATCAATGCCGTAATAAAAGTAATAATAAAACCGTTGAGTGCATCTTCATATGCAAAATGGGTTTTTGTCGTAACGGGAAAATAGAGATTCTCGGAATCGACAACAATATTATCATGGATATGTCGTCGCCAAATCGTAACCCTTTCACAAATCTCATGATACAAATTTTATAATAATTAATAATTCCTGTCGATATATTTTTCATAATAAAGAATCACAAGGAAGAAAGTATATTGAACATCAATTACCTTCATTTACAAGTACATAAGATTAGCTATAGCTCTACAAACGACATATAAAAACTCATATTAATAAAAGTATCCAAAAACTTATCAGAAGATGTCAGGTGATGTTTTTTTTATCTATAGCGGATTGTAATCTTTTATGTTGCATGGGAGCTTTTGTAGGTCACAGACCATGTATAAAGAAAGGAATTGAAAGAATCAGTGCAAGAAGGAGGCAGTACCATGACTCAGGAGCTTATTTCTACATTTTTCTAGATATTTAAAGTATCTAAAATGTGCTTGCGGGCATACATTATAAGGCGCCACGCGTTTCTTAACGACATGAATTTCAAATTGAAATTTCAGATTGAAAATAAACTCTTCTGAAATCTAATTCAAATACAAATCCATATCTAGGGTGGATTTTTTTAAATTATTGACTTACCTAATTCTTGTAGCGAAACCTATTTTAATTTCAATCGCGGTGTATCGAGGTCGCAGTCGTTTTTACAGTTGACCTTTTGCATTTATCATTTGCGTTTGCATAAAAAAAAATTGTTTTCTTTCTACATCGCGATTATGACAGTCAGTTGCAACACAACGCTTCCTTGTCACAGAAACGATACTTGCATCCGTGCAACTAATCGCATAATCGCGGCGAAGTTGGTCGTTTCAGTTTGTCTTTTTTTTTTTGTCGAAAATGAGAGTGCAGCGAATTTATCTACAATCACGTCTATTAAAAATGTTTTGGCTATACAGTATCAGTTAAAAATATCCAGTAAAAAAATTAGTTAAAAAACTAATATCGACTAATATTAGCCAACAAATTTTTGTCATAAATACACTCTGTAACTAATTGCAAAAACAATAAATAATCTAGCCTATAATGGTAGCAAAATAGCTATATTTTGTTTGAATTTTAGATAAGTAATTTTTAAGTAAAAAAGTAAATTTAAATAAATTTTTACACGAATATTTATTAGAATTTTATTAGTATATATAAATAAATTTGATTTAATTCGTAATGCTACGATCTTATCAAAATTTGCAAATAAATATTACAAAATACGATTTTACAATAAGACATACAATAATAACAAAAAAATTAAATAACTTTTAAACTAATAAGCTAGAAATATTAAATAATAAGCTCAAATTTTACATAGATACTCAGAGACGTAATATTAGAACAATCAACGAAATGTTTATATTTTTGTTAATGTTTTGAGATGTGACACATACATCTTAAGTTGAAATATTTAGTACTTTCTGCAATCCTTCAAAGCAAGAAGCAACGTATAAGTTACAGTAAACGTGACGAAGGCGCAGTGTTTCTCACGATTTCACCATATCTGTGTTTAACAGGCGTAATTCAATCGCCGTTATACTTTTACCGGTGCTTCACGAGTTTAGATTTAGGATTAACAGTGACATCGCGCGCGTGAGAAGCTTTCAATCTAAAATAAAAATTATTTAACAAAAATGAATAACAGAAGGGCTAAGAGCCAAATTTTTCGTATATTTAGATTCTTAAAAACACATACGTTTCGACCTATTTGTCACGTCATCCTCAGTGTATACATGATAAATTAACGCAAATTTAATAAAAATCATAAAACGGTTAAATACAATTTCTATGCAAATTATAGTTACATAAAGTGGTGGACCTATTTCTTCATGTCTATTTTCATTCGCAACAATGCAATGCTTTCCATCTTGTCATCTTCGTTACATTCTTCTTACTTTTTTTCTAAAAATTATTTATATAATTTTATAATAACAATAAAAAGGACAGCTGCGACGCGTTTTCAAAATAACGTATCGAAAAAAATACGCGTATTGAAATATTTTACTTGGAATTTATAATTTAAAAAAATTAATAATGTATTTCACGTACTAATGAAATTATTCAGTGATTGACATTTGACGGTGTTACAACAAGAAACATGATAAATAAATATTGATTCGTGCGGAGTATTGATATACTGTTGGAACTATTAAGGCTTGTTGCGGTTATCTCGTAAATAGTTAGTCTTTCCCGAGTCTTATCTTAATTTTCGTAAAGTAAACGAAGCTTATCTTAATTTTCATAAAATGAACGAGGAAATGCTCAAGACGAAAATTTTTTAAACAACGAACAGTCGAACAAATAACGAAATTTTGATTATTAATATTAAGATTTTGTATATAGTTAAACATTTCCAGATAAAGGGAAGATTGTAATTGTTAGGTCTTTTGATAGCAAAACTGTTCAAATGTCATCGACGTTTCTTCGGTAACTTTTGAAAAGTTCTGTTTTCAAGTGATGGTATTTTCTAAGATGGAAGAGAGAATGTAAACGGTGTCAGTGTTCTGATTTTAAGATGTTATTGTAAACGATCTGGAGATATTCTGTTATACTATACTGCATTCTTTATTTTTTACATAAAGAGATTTTAGAGTTCGAGATATATTTACATAAAAATATCCGATATATATCGAATATATTATATATCCAAATGTGGTTATTTATAAAATTTTTATATCTTAGAAAGTAAACCTAGAATTATGTGTAGTCTTTATTGTTTCCAAAAAACTATTAAATATTTTTTTTATAGACAATATATTCTATTCCTTATATAGAAAATAAAGAATATAAGATGTATATGTAGATAAAAAGATATCAGAACAATATTTTCAACAATTACTTCAGCCATTATTTGAAAAAATTATAATATAATTTTATTACGTGATATAAAGCTGATAAAATTATCAATTACGAAGATCCAGAAATAATAACAAATGAAGTGAAAAAATATTCTGAATTAATTATTATTGGAAAGAACCGTGTAAAATCAATAATACACAGCGTTGTAATTATTCAATTTAAATCGTCAGTTATATGAAATTATGTATATATCGTGAGATACATATATATCAATAAATATCAATAAATATCATAAATCAATAATATATATCAGATATATATTATTAGCATTTTTAGCAGAAAAAGCAATTTTGCAACTGTAAAATTCTTTAATGTGATTAGTTTTGGTTTTTCACTATATCTAATTGTAAGTGTATAAATCATATTAAAAAATATTGCAACAATCTGCAAAATTGCTTTTTCTGCTGAATGCAGCTATTGATATATCACGAAGAAAAATAATAATTTTATTATAACGCAAAGGTTTGCAAAATTGAATTATCAAGTTTGTTTGCTGTTTATAGCAAATTTGCATATTTGACTTTGCATTTGTTGTAAATAATTTTTGTAGCAAATATAAAAAAATAAATATTCGTATAATTGCAAATAATTTTGCGATCCCTATATTTGCAAATAGAATTTATCGTCATGGTATAGAATTATCGTTCACAGCAAATTTTGTCTTTTCTTCGAACTTTGAAAAATTTAGAATACATATAAATTATATGGTTTCATCAAATTAATTTTGGTACTCGATATCCAAAATTCCTCTCCCTCTCTTTCTCTCTCTCTCTCTCTCTCTCTCTCTCTCTATATATATATATATA